GCGTTTTAGATGTAAATTGCAGTGACATTAATATAAAACTTATGTGTCAAAGAGAAGGGGGAATGGAAAACTGTAAAAATAAATCCTTGGGGAGGGACCATGCAAAATGGAATACTTTGCCAATTTTCACGGGTACAGGTATGCAGGTCTTGGCGTGTTCAGGTCTTTTCCTGTGTAAGATTGAGAGCATCTTGGCAACATTTCGACGAGGTCCCACTCACCATCTTCAGGCTGGTGCTTTCGGCTTTGCTTTGCTCGCACAGCACGAAGCCGAAAGCACCAGCCTGAAGATGGTGAATGGGACCTCGTCAAAACGTTGCTAAGATGTTCTCAATCTTACACGGGAAAAGACCCGAACATGCCAAGACCTGCATATATAAATATTGTATATATATATATTAAATGAGCTTGTTCTAATGGAGATTCATCAACTCCAGTGTAATACTGTTTTGCTACAATTCTAACATTGCAATATTCCTGCTGCCAAAACAGCCTTTGGCATTCTGAGCCCCTTGCTTGTGGAAACATTAGAAGGGAATTGCTGTTCTTCCACACTGCAGGAAGGAATGATTCAAGATCTAAGAACACAGCATTGAAAAGTTCCCCCAAGAGTCTAATATTTCAACTTCCTTGTATTGAAAGAAAACGTACTACACCTAAACCATCCCAACAGATGTTTATCAAATTCCTGCAACATTGCTGGAATTTTCCTGATTTTCTTATGTGTCTACCCTTCCTGCCTCTGATTTCTTCAGTATTCTTGTGGTAGATGTTTTAATGTTTGGTCTAAATTTATATGATGCATACAGAGAGGAGGAGGAGGAGGAGGAGGAGGAGGAGGAGGAGGAGGAGGAGGAGATGAAGATATTGCCATTCAGATACAATTATAGTTCTTGGGGAAAGAACATTTGGAATAGCAATAGTAATAACAATAGCACTTAGACTTATATACCACTTTATAGTGCTTTACAGTCCTCTCTAAGCAGTTTTTTTTACAGAGTCAGCATATTGCCCCCAACAATCTGGGTCCTCATTTTACCCACCTCAGAAGGATGGAGGGCTGAGTCAACCTTGAGCCGGGTGGGATTTGAACAGCTGATAGTCAGCAGAAGTGGCCTGCAGTACAGCTCTCTAACCACTGTGCCACAGAGGAATAGCACATTCCCTCTTTCACTTAACATATGGGAACTGAAACTGACTAATCAGTTGGTTGTTAATAATGAGTTGCAGCATTTCCTGGAAATAGAACAGAATAGAATGCCAGGATCAGGCCCATCATTAAGGAGAGTGAGATGGATGAAAATTAGTGGTGTCATAAAAGGAGACATCTTAGCTGGATTCGTGATGTTTAAAGCCAGTGATGGATGGTACACATTATGCAGTTTACTTTCTTCAGTACTGGAATTATTGATAAGCTTTGAATAGGTAGATGTATGCCATGGACTACTCTGCCTCAGGTGAAAAAAATGTCTGGGTTCAACTCTATCAGGGAGCTCCATTATTGGTCAATGATAACAGAGTTGTCAAGAATGTGGGAGGAAGGTGTATCAGTGCTGTTGTGCCCTTTTTAGTTTGTGATGGAAGAATGGCCTGTTTTTTATGATATTGTATCTGGATGAGATTCAACTGTTCAACTAGAAGAGGAGAGAGAAAAGACAGGTTGCTTTAATGAGACTATTCTTCTCTTTATTTCTCACCTTACCTGAGAATGTCAGCATGCTAATGCTACCATCAAACAAATACTTCAAAACATACATATAAAACCAGATTGATGCAAAAGAGCTTGATCATTAAAGAAAACTCAATTGTATGAGAGAAAACTCAATTGTTTATGGGACGGGAAATTGCTTGAATTTCTGTGGTTGCAAATATTCAGGAATACGTGCTGAGATGGCTTTACCAGCACAGAGGTTTTGTGAGAAAGGCACACTCTTAGATAAATCCTGCTGTGTAGTTCACGTCATTGAAGGAAACATCAGCATCCCTACTCCCTATGCTTGTGGAGCTGGTTAAAGAAGTACTTATTTCTGTATAGATTTTCATTATTTTACCTGGAATTGCTTCCAGCCTTTTGTGTGTGTTTTTGCATTTGTTTTGTCGTTTTGTACAGATGTTTTAGCTTCCATTGATCGCTTGTATGATGAAATAATTTAAGGACAGTTTTGGGCTCTTTGATAAAATGTAATCCAGCAAAGAGAGACTTGGACTTGGCACAGTTATTTCTTAATGGAAATGGTTTCAACATTGGCCAAAGAGCACCTGGAACTTTATGTTCTATTAGCTATGTTCTGTTATCACAGAATGAAGAACTATCCATTTAGAAATACTGTTTTACTGAATGCCTGATATATGCATATTTGCAAAACTTAGGAGGAAAGTGACCAATACCCTGAATCAATACCCTTCATTCCACAGATTTTTGAGTATTTAAATGAACATCACAGAGTGACAGAGGAAGCTAGTTTTTTTATGGCTGGGATTTTACTGTATCCATTTTGTATTGCTTTAGCTAAATCCTTGCTTCTCATGATGTCCTTGGTGAAAAGGGAGGAAAAGAGAATGCAAACATCTGCTTTTTATAAGCCAGTCCAATCCTTCATAACTTGATCTTAACAATCATGAATAATTTTCTAGTCACAATGTGATGAAGCCTGGATTGCTGTGGCTAATTACACTTCTCTTTCTCCCTCTTTTTTTTTCTCTCTCTCTCTCCCCCCTCCCTCTCTCCCTGTGTGTGTGTGTCAACAAATAATGCAAGTTTGTTCTATCAGCAAAACACAACATAAATACAGCTCTGCTGTCATATCCATAAAGTTGTCACAAGTCATAAATACAGCTGAACACACGAGCCATAAATACAGCTCTTGGTCACATCCATTATTTGATGAGAAATAATAGTCTGACTTCTGAATTTAGCTTTGAATCATGAAAGCATTAACAGTATATGGTTCTTAAAGCAAGAAACTTTATCTTATACTGGCGCAGGGGGGTCAAACTTGATTTCATTGAGGGCTGTATTCAAAACCACAATAAATGCAGAAAGTCAACTGCCAGTTTAACTTGTTTCAGAATATAAATAGGAAAAGGTGTCAATCTCCTTGGCCTCTTCTGGTAAAATGTTTTGGACCAACCCTACTTGGAATAATGGAAAACAGCATGCAAAAAGCTAGTCTAGAAAGCCAGAATGGAAGAGATAATAGCCTGCCTCCTGGATATCCCTCCTTCTGAAATGCTGCTTTAGAGCCTAAAACCCCCAGATAGACATGTAGGTAATATTACACAAAGTTAAACCCTTTGCATCTGAATGGGAAATTTAAGCACACATCTAACTGAGGAGGTTAGTCATCAGTCATCGTGTCAATTGTGCTCTATAAGGATTCATCCAGATTCATCATTCGTCTACATCACCGCACATTCTACTGCACATCTGCTTACCACTTGACAGCATGAAACAAGCAGTATGTAGGCATTCTCTCTTGTATGATTAACCAAGTGAAGGAGAGTGGAACATGCTGTCAAAGTTTGCCTTCTTCAAACATACCATTTGACATTCTGCATGAATCAGGGTGTGTGTGAGCATCTAAAGCAGAGGCACTCTTCTGAAAGCAGCTTGTACGAACTGGAATCTTCTTGCTGTAGAAGGCCAAAAGCAAGGAGAATGGATCATATTGGAGAGGCTTGCCAGGGCAGCTTCACAGGAAGAGAGAGAAAGAGAGAGGGAGAGGGAGGGAGGGAGAAAGAGAGGGAGGTTATGTTCAGTAACCAACCCACAAGCTTGGAGAATGAACCTTCACCCCTCATCTTACAACCGAGCTACAGATATTCACCTCTATTGCAGATCTTCCATAATTTTTAAACATAAGAAGGGGTCCTGAGAGAAAAATATGTAAGACACACTGACTTAGATAAAACGAAGGATATCCAGGATAATTTGATTAGGTATATGATCATTGCTAATTAATATAACTTATGTAAGTATTCCTTGACTTAAAACCATTCATTTAGGGACTGCTCAACTTATAACAGCCCAGAAAAGGTGGCTTATGACTGTTTTTTACACTTACGACCATTGGTCATGTGATCAAAATGTGGACTTTTGGCAACAGATGCAATTACTTTTCCTCAGGAACATCCTTGCAATTACTTTTCCTCAGGAACATCCTTGCAATTACTTTTCCTTAGGAACGTCACAGTGGGTTCTGCAAAGGAAAGCCTATGCCTTTTGAGAGTGAATTCTCTGCAGAGGCTGCTCTGCCTGCCAGAGCTCAAATTACTTGGAGCAGAGGGAGCTAGCATATGGCTAAGGAGAGACCCCCCTGGCTGGAAGTATATTTAAACCTTCTTCATAAAGAAACAGCTGTGCCTCCTTCCTCTTACTGATACTTCCTCCAAAACCGACTGACAAGTGTGTGCCATGTTTTATGACTGCTTACGAAAGAGGCTTTGCCTTGAGTGGTTTTTGTGGCACTCCAGGGACCTTAAATACCTTTTTAAAGAGATCACCCAAAAAGAGCGCCTCAAAGGCAAAGGTGGGGAAACGGGGTTGGCCAATGAGAAGGCGAGTTTGTTCTGAGCATCCACTCCTCATTGTCTCTGCAGCAGCCGCCGCTGCAGCCACAGGCTTCCACTAGCAGCCAAATTTTGGAGAGTCTGTGCCTCTTGCCAAAGAATCCAGAGGTGGCAACAGAAGTAGAAGCAGCTGCGTGGGGGATATGAATGGGACTCCTTCTCTCTTGGCTCAGGGAGAGGCTGCCAAACTCTTTACAAACTGAGGCTGGGGAAGGGAAGAAGGACCGGCAACTTGCACAGGCAAAAGTAGTCGTATTTCTCTGTCTCTCCTGAATCTGTGGAAAGTAAAGTTCTTGGGGGTTGGGGGAATAAGGGGCTTTGAAAAAAAGATTGATCCAATGCATTCTTCACAACTGGACTGGATCCTTTGTGATGCTTGAGGTGGGAAACTGAGCACGTTGCTAAGGTACCAGAGAAAAGGAGATAAAGTCATGGATTTCCCTGACAGTGTCTCCCTGCGAGCTGTAGGATTCTGTGCATTCCTCTTTTTGGTCTTCCTTGTTTTGCCTACCTGTGCCCAAGATGGAGTGATAGAACCTGAGCCCGCTGTGGAAGAAATCCCACAAGGAGCATCCACCTTGGCTTTTGTCTTTGATGTGACAGGATCAATGTACGATGACTTAGTTCAGGTCATTGAAGGTGCTTCCAAAATTTTGGAAACCTCCTTGAAGAGACCCAAGAGGCCACTTTACAATTTTGCACTGGTTCCATTCCATGATCCAGGTAAGGCAGTATTTTCAAGTGCTCTAAAATTGGTTATTATTTAGAAAGTAATAGTTGGAGATTTTTTTGCAGGTTTATTTTAATAACAGAGGTTTGTGAAATTGTTATTAAAATTAGATTCTCTCTCTCTCTCTCTCTCTCTCTCCCTCTCTCTCTCTCTCTCTCTCTCTCTCTCTCTCTCTCTGTCTGATTTAACAAATAAAAGGACCAGGGATGTATGAGGACAGGTTGTCTTCAAATAGTGTTAGATTATAAAAGACATTATAAACATTATAAAAATAGAGACAGTACAGAATTATTTCTATTAATAAAATAGTGATTGGAAAGAAACTCCCTAGAAGAAACTTCAAGAGACTTCCTTAATTAAATGAATGTAGCTTCTGTGACATATTAATGTGCCAAAATAGGTGCACTGTTTGGGAATTGAATTATGAATTGAAAACAGAGTTTATGACTCCAGAACATGGTTTTATTAACTGTAAATGGAATCTTTGGAGAAAATATTCCTAAACATCAGTTTATATTCAGTATACAAACATGTTATGGCATGTTTTCAATCAATGTTTTACAATTTTTTATTGTAAATGAAATACTTTTTTTAAAGAAGCCCTTCCATCAGAATAATAACCATGAATCACGTACAGAAGCCTTTGCTCGCCTGGTTTTCCCCGGACTGGGGATTTTGCAGTATAACTCCCTTCACCCTCAGCCAGACAACTAATAATGCCCATGGGAACTGTAGTCCTCCGGAAGGCTCCAGGTTGGAAAAGGCAGGATATATTTTATATATTTTCCAAAAGCATGACCTTTAATACTCCCATGCTGAAACTCATTGTATTTCCCATAAAAAGTTCTTGGGACACAATCAAATTTTATGGCTGGTGCCTCAGCTGTCTCTTCATTGTCCTCCCTGCCTTCCTTCTACATACTGCTATTCATGCATTCTTCCTGCTTTCTCTCCCACTCCATAGCATCTGTTTTTTATTCTTTTCTTTAGAATTTCTCTTCTTTTGACAAACGTCTTTGGATGATCCTTCAAAGAAAGAGAATGCAGACTGTCCTAGGCTGGGGCATAGGGCAATAAAAGTACACAAACCACTACAAACACCAAAAAAATGTATATTTAAAAATCTGAATTTCTAGCTACTTCTTTCTCCTAAATTATTCTGGAATGAAGACATCTGGAATTTGTTTGAGTTGTGGGAATGATAAAAGATACTGCTTTTCAGCTATGACTCTATTTGCTCTTTAAGGAAAAAGTAGTTATTGAATGGTGAAATTCTTAGTATTATTCATAAGATAATAGGGATGCATGCTTAAAGCTATTTTTCACTAGATGGCCTAGAGTTTTTCCCTCAGAATAAGAATTCGTTTTCTTTCTTTTGTTTTCCTTTTTGTTCATATGAGGTACCAACATATTTGAGAGAAACTGCCACTGCAGTGCAATGCATACCAGCAGAGGGCCCAAAGGTCTAACATTGGAGTCCCACAGTGGTATTTTTAGATAACATTTTTTTTATCCAACTTTCTTCCAGATTGCTAGGGAATTGGATGGGGTTAAACTGATTTCCATTTGAGCAACTGACAGTATTTAGTTGACATTGCCAGATCCTCAGATCCTAGGTGCTGAAACACAAACAGAATTTAAGACACATTAACTATAAGCTGGTTGTGGTGTTGTTTTTCAAAACAATGGTTGTCGGGAGAAAAACAACTATGTTACAGGATAATGACTTGACCAATTTTTCCAGTTTTAGATATGGAAGGAATTACTAAAAAGCTTTGGTCAGAAATGTGAGCCCTACTTTTATTTATTGTGCTCCTAGATGATAACTCTTGCTCCCTCTTGTTAAACACTTTGGATGTTTTAAAATTACTACTTTGTCAAGAAGCCACATGTTTCTTTATGTATAAACATAAATATCATTACAAAGGGAAGAGCTTTTAATATTATTTTAAAGAGGGGCCTGGTAAGTCACTAGCTGCTATCTAAGGACAAAGACATTTCTTGTAAGATGTTCAAGTTGTTAAAATGTGCCAGCAAAGGGAGTATTTTCATCATGAGCAAAACTTAAAGAGCAACAATAGCTCTTCTTCCTCCAACTTTTCCTTAAAAATAGTCAAAGAAAAACTGTTGAATGCCACTCACAACATGTACTGAGGTTTCTTTTTTTTGTTAATGATGTCTTGGAAATAAATAATAGCTGGATTCCTGGGATTAGGAACTAGACAATAAAGGGAAAGGGAATCTTTATAGACCTACATTATAGGTGCTCTGGAGAACATAAAAAAAGATACTTTCCAAGATGTGTTAGCACACAATGAAGGCCTATTTTTCTGAGCATTAAATAACGATGCCCTTTGGTGGGCTTGCACGACTGCTTCAAAAACTGAGACTGATTGTTAGTGGTATGTTTTTGTGCAAATAGCAATATTTTACTCAGACTGCTAACACAAAACCATTCTGTGGTGACTACAGAATATCAGAATTCCTGAATTTAGAAACAGCTGATCTTGGAGAGGGAAAATTTGACATGTCCTGATCTGAATTCTAGCACTGAGGTGGAATTTTTGACATCAGGTGTTATAATACTTCCCTCATAAAATATCTCATGTGCCAGAAATTAAAAAAATACAGTTAAAATACATTTTAAATGTGATTTGGATAATCTTACTGAGATAATTATACAAGATAGTTGAATTTTGTATAGCTTTGGAATTTCATGAAAGTTGGCTCTTCTTGGAACAGAAAATCTTAGAGAAGCATCCAGATCTATCTGCTAGTCCTTTCTTCAAGCCTTTCAGAAACAGAAGATGCAAGACTAGAAAAATTAGCTGAGAGAAGAAGTATGTAACTGATGCAAAAATGTAAACTGAGGAATTTGTTGGAATCAAGACAGAGATAGTCGGAGAAAGTCCCTAGAGCAATGGTTTCTTAGCTTTGGCAACTTTAAGATGTGTGGTCTTCAACTCCCAGAATTCCCCAGCTAGAGTGTTTCTCAACTTTGGCAACTTTAAGATGTGTGGACTTCAAGTTCTAGAATTCCCCACCTACTGGCTTGGAGATCAGTTCCTAAGCCCTTTTCAATCAAGGCTTTGAAAGTGGCAAGGAGCCAGTCTTTTGGGTTTGAAGGAGACATATTCATGAGGGAAAATATTGGGAACACATGTTGATTGAGCTCAAATGCTGAAAGGCTGATTGTTGAAAGAAGGCTTTGGTGTTACTTGAGCCTCCTCAGTATGTTCTGATATTGGCAATATTTGTTAGGACATCCTGTGTAAGCTGGGGTTCTGCACATTCTCATTTTAATTTGGGTTGACTCCTCTATAGATTTGGTCTTGGACAAAGTTGCATCTTACTCCTGAGTTTCCAAGCCAATGTAAAGTTAATTGACAGCTGGTGGCAGTGGTTGGAATTTCCTGTTTGGAATTATTGTTTAATCAGGTTGATTATAATTGGTTCATTATATGCTCAGGATCTAGATTTTGTAACTGGAGAAAACCTCTAGTGCTCTGTTTCTTTAAAAAAAAGAGGTTCTGGTGATTCTCCTGTCTCTGTTTCTGGGTTTACACAGTGTTAGAAGGGGAAGAAGAAGGGTGGGAGGAAGACAAATGACATGTGGGATACATCAGGGCTCAATGCACTCACATTTCCTGTTTATATGAGGCCACTGGATGAGGTCATTGGGGTCAAACATCTTTGGCATGCTGATGATACCCAGCTGTACATTTTAACCCCAGGCCAATCAGGTAATGCCTTCTAGGTCTTGTCTCAGTATTTGGAAACTGTAGGTTTTTGGATGGGAAGGAGTAAGTTGAAGCTCAACTCCCATAGGATAGAGTGGTCACTGGGCTACCAACATCTGGAAGCACTCCATCTTTAGTTCTGAATGGTGACCACATTGATCCCTTTGAGAGGGTTGCACAATTGGGGGATCTTGGATTCACAACTTATGGCTGTGGCCAGGAAGGCCTTTGCACAGATACAGTTAAGCCCTTGTGTGAACTGGGAGGTTCTTAAGACAGATGCACATTGTATAGCTATTTTCCAGTTATTGGAGAAATAAGGAGATAGAAAAAAAAAAACCAATCTAATGAGTAAGCAACACCGAGTCCTTATTATATCTTCTTGCAATATACCTTCCACATATCTTGTATAAGTTCCAAAAGCCAAACTGATTAAAAGTTTGGAGAAATATTGTTTTGTACAAATGGGAGAATATAATTTAACCTAAGAATGCAATCGTCACAGAGTGGCATTTTTCATTTCTCTTTTGGTTAATGGCTTAAATATTGGTTGGTTTGCTAAATAATTTTTCAAACCAATTGCCTATTTAAGAGCATCTCAGAGTGACTGTCTCTGTAATCTAGTGCTGGCAGTCTTTCTGGAAATCCTTGGAAAGCTGAAATGAAATGAAGAAATGTAGTTTGTGTCTATTTCCTCAATATTAGATAAAGCTTAAGCAAAAAAAGACAGAAGAGGGCAGAGAATTGTGTAAAGTATGCATATGCCAATGTTTATGTATAATTCCTATATCAGACACTGAATTTGCTGTTTTTGGAAAGCTGAGTGATGCATTGCTTCTTCTGTGTTACTTGAACTGTATCATCTCTTCCTGACACTCCACCTTGCGCTAGGAAAGGAAGAGAGGGAAGAGTAATCAGGAAACTCTGAATAGTGCAAGTAATAGTGCTTCTTCTCAACTACCATTGTTTCCATCATTCATCCCACTTGTTCAGTGTAATTCAGTACTTGCTGGAGGTGATATATCCAGGGGTGGGATTCAAATTTTTTAACAACCGGTTCTGTAGGCAAGGCTTAGTTGGTGGGCATGGCTTAGTTGGTGGGCATGGCTTGGTGGTCATGTGACTGGGTGGACGTGGCTTGGTGGTCATGTTATTGGCTGGGTGTGGCCAACTCAATATCACTCACATCGAGACATGCATCTCCTCACCTGGCCTCTCATGACTATGGGGATGCTGCAACAGTCGTAAGTGTG